AGGACTGCGCGGCGGCGGCCGCGGCGGCGCACTTGGCCTCGGCCGTGGCGCGGTTCGCCAGTGCTCGAGCGGCCATCGCCTCAGCGCCCGAGGGTCCAGCAGCCACTGCAGCGAGGAGACCTTTCAGAATGTGCAGCTCGGCTTTCAGGGATGGCTTGAGGATAGCCAAGTCAGCACTGGAAATGCTGTCCAACGATCGCAAGCGTGAGAGCAACGACTGCTGGGCGATGAAGCAACGCCGCCATATAGCCAGTAGAGCCAGGTCTTGCACATCCTGCTCGCCATCAGGATCTTCGTCAGCTTTGAAGGAACGTGCCGTGGCCCAAACTCCGGACAGATCCAAACCATCGTCAGGCACTGCTTGAAGAAAGTCACGCCACAGTGGTTTCAAGGTGCTACCTTGATCTGCACACAAGTTTGAAGAAAGAAGCTTCTTCATTTTCTGCGGCTCAAGGTTGGAAACGAGCTCCTTCATGTTGGGTGCAGCTTTCCAAGCTCAATCAGAATCTTGCAACAAATCGATCCATCTTCCTTTACCCCTAAGTGTTTCAAGTGCTAGCTGCTAGCTTCAGTAATTAAAGCCAATTGAAAAACTTGCCCCAAACTGCCCCCTTTGCATGGCATCTTTCCAACACTCCAGGGTCTCCCGCAGGTCTCCTCCAAGCCCTTGATTCTTTCCGCACACTGCTTCTGCAAAGGAGCCTCCCCGCCTGGCGCACCAGAGAGCTGGAGCTCCGTGCGCCCGTGGCGAAACAGTCCCGGAAGCTCCGAGACCAGGCGCAGCATGGGCGAAGCGGAGGAGCCGGCTCCCCTTCATGGCTTGAGGGCCAATCCCTTTCGACCCTTAAAGACTGAAGCCAAGAAACCATCAAGAAAAACATAGAAAAACCATCCGCCGCATTGGGATAAGGATCGGATCGGTTAAAATAGGCACAAGGTGGCAGGCTGAAAACTAGCAACTCGAAACTGGACTGTGCTGGAAAACTGCAACTCCCCCCGTGGCTGAGATTTAAACCTACATGACCTCCTGATCTCTCCTGATGACCTCCCAACCTCCTTGCTTAAAGGACTTTTAACGAGGTCGAGCATACACCCGTCCTTTGCTGTGGGCCAGCCTTCTTGGCCCAGTTGCTCTCAGCAGCTGGCCCCGACATCCACCAACTGGACGCTACGGTGCCGAAATCCAGCTGCAGTTTGAGATAT